GTGATTGTCAAGGAAACTTAAACTTGCTTCAGAGGAGGAGAAGTGTTCCTGATTTAAAGGTGGGGCTGTAGCTTTTGGTCTGCTTTCTGCCTGGCCTGTGCAGCTGGTGAGAAATCACAAGTCAGCCATTTGTTCAGAGTCATTCTTGCCAGCCAAGAACTTGGAGCTCCAGCTCTGTGTGGCTAGGACCTCAGCAGCCGAATCATGTGTATAAAGGCTGCCTTTGCTTCCCTACAGCTTGGGGGAAGGCAGCTCTGCCCCATTGGGCTGATTACAGTACCTGGCTGGTCAGGATGATGGGAGGCTCCTGAGCTGATGTTTGCGAAGCACCCACACGGTGCACATCGCTTAGTGTGTCTTCTCTTCTTCTTGCCCTCTGGTGCCCGGCACAGAACCTGCTCACAGTGGGCCTAGATAGATGGGGGTGAATGCTGGGTGCCTGTGCAGAGCATGAAAGGGAACAGAGTACCCGGGAGATGCCGGCTACATCAGTAGCCCAGAGTGGGCTGCACGAGGGGTGTGTCCTGAGACAGGCTTGAGGCTGGAGTGAAATGGCCCTAGAAATTCGTGGGCTCTAGGAATTTGTCTTATACTGAGAGGGAACTGGCGACACTTTTTGTTATTGTTAATCCTCACGGATATTTTTCCATTGTTTTTTTTTTTTTTTTTTTTTTTTTTTTAAGAGAGAGTGGAAGGGAGGGAGAGAGAAAGAGAAACAGAAACATCAGTGTGAGAGAGACACATCAATTGGTTGCTGGGACTAGGGATCTAACCTGCACCCCAGCTATGTGCCCTTGACCAGGAACTGAACCTACGACTCTTTGGTCCTCGGGCTGAAGCTCTAACCGCTGAGCCACACCAGCCGGGCACCAGTGACACTTTTAAAGCAGAAAACAGACATAGTCTCCTGAAGCAATAGTTTTAGATTCTGAAAGCAATGTGGCAATGGTGAGGCTGATACAGTGAGGCAGGCAGGAGACCGCGGGGTCTGATTTGGCACAGTAGTTTGTGTCCAGAGGGAGCAGGGTGGAATTGAGAGCCCACTGGAAAGCAGAGTGGACAGGACTGGGGGACAGGTGCGTTGAGGGGCACCAGGGAATGGCAAGAACTCAGAAATGACTCAAGCTGTCTACCTTGGGTAACTGGGTGGCTGACAACGTCAAACACTGAGATGGGGAAGGGAGGAGGGGGTCTGGGTGAAGAGACAGCTAAGACACTCAGGGTGACTTGATGACTGTAATAGGTACACACACCCACAGAGAGCTGCTTTCCTCTGTGGAAAGTAAAGCATGACTCAAGGAGCACTAACCCACTTTCCTGACTCGGTAGGAACTTCAGGCATAACGGGGTTCTGGATGACCCATAAACAGATAGAATCTAGAACAAGCTGGCCTCGTCATTCCATGGTCACCTGTGGTTCCAGGGGCTACTACACAGAGCAAAAAGTAGATTTCACAGTTGACTAGATTCTCCATCTCCACAACCCCAAGTTTCCTTGGGAACCTGGGAGAGACTATCCTGTATATAACCATTAAGAGCTTCGGTTAGATCCCGGCTCTGCCGCTCACCAGCTGACACCTTAGCCAAGTCATATAACCTCTCTGAGTGTCTCTTCTTTCATCTAAAAAGTGGGGCTCATTAGGGTACTTTGCTGGGCTAAAATAAGATATATCCAGACCATGGAACACAGCGCCTGACATATTGTAAATAATATGAGCAGCTGTTGTTGTTGTTATTATTATTGGTTGCTCTGTCTAGGCATATATGCTTCAGCATATGTATATTGGGTTTAAAATTTGCTTATATCCTCTTTGCCCATGGAAAAAGTGAGACCTAGTATTTTTTTTTTTTCCTTTTCTTTTATTGATTTAGCGAGAGAGGAAAGGAGAGGGAGAGAGAGATAGAAACATCAATGAGAGAGAACATCTATTGGCTGCCTCCTGCATGCCCCCCACTGGGGATTTGGTCCACAACCTGGGAATGTGCCCTGACCGGGAATCGAACCAGCAACCTCTTGGTGCATGGGTCGATGCTCAACCACTGAGCCACACGGGCTGGGTGAGACCTAGCCTTAAGTTATATTTCCATGATGATAAACAAGAGTGAAGTTCCCATGGTTATGAGAGATCTTGCCTGTTCTTTCTTTCTTTCATTCATTCATTCATTCATTCATTCATTCAGCAACAATTGAAGCTGTCTCAAGGAGCTCACAGGCTAGTAGGGGAGACCGACATGAGAACATGTAGCTATGATAAGATAATAGTGGCATTCAAAGGTTCCTGGGGACCTTGGGGTAGAGGTGGAGGAAGGAGTACTTGGCTGCAAGTAGAGGAGCAGAGAAGGAAAGCTGGGCAATGAGTAGGGATGTGTTCTTGGGCTGGGCCAGATCGTAGGGAGGGCTTTACTGGGAGGCCAAGGAGAGAAGGGTGCTCCTCTTGTTAAGGGAGGTCAGCGGGAGCTCTGGGCCTGACCCAGTGTGGGGGTGAAGAGCACAGATCAGGTTGGAGAGGTGGCCTCCTTAGATGCCATCCCAGGTGTGGGACACAAGGCTGTGGGTGATGGAAAGCCACTGGAAGGTTTAAGATAGAGCATCTGCACTTGGGAAAAATTCCTTTGGCTGGTACATGAGGAATGGCATAGAGAGCAGGGAGCTTGGCCATCAGAGGGGAACTGAAGTAGGGACGTGGGTGCTAAAGAGAGGGGCTGAGTCAAGAGGCAGAGGAGGTTGAATCAACAGGACTTGGTGACTGACTGGGTGGTGGGGAGGAGGGAAAGGGGGGGTCACTGGAACTCTGGCTGCCCTGCCTACAGGTGAGGAGGGCGGGAGGAGGCCCTGGCCTGCTGGAGAAGGGACTGTGCTTGGTCTGGGACAGCGGGGTTGGAGGTGTCTGAGAGAGTCCAGTCTCTGTTGTCTAACAGACAGCTGGATCAGGGGACAGGTCTGAGGAAGGGTCTGTGGAGTGAGGGAACCTAAGGGGATGGCAGCTGGGTGTCACCATCTTTGTGGATTCCAAACCAGGTCACTCTGAAACCGGAGGTGGTACTCAGCTTTGCGTTCAGAGTGGGGCTCCACTTGGAGATCCTGGCAGGCCTTGACAAGTGCCCAAAACCATTGGTCTAATCAGGGCCTGTTTGCCCAGGGCACTCTGGGTCCCACTGGTTTCCAGGAACTGACAGATACTGCTCCCAAGGTCTCCAAAGGCATTGTTCCCGGAGGGGTTGCTTTGACAGTAGCCTTCCCGCTGAGCTCTGCAGCCTGCAGCCTGTGCACTTGACACACTGGCTCCTCTGGGGTTTGTTTTGTTTGTTTGCTTTTCTAATGGGATTTTTTTTTTTTTGGCCAAGTTACATAAATAGTGTCAGCACAGAGGGACAGGCTGGGGGAATCCAGAGCTGCCATCAGACTTGGCCAGAAGAGAGACTGGCCTCCTTATTATCTTGGGACGATCACTTGTTGGTTCCTGAGACTAGGCTGGGCCTTTATATCTGGTATCTCAGCTGGCAGGGTGGAGAGAAGATGATGCTGGCTGATAAGAGGGAGCTGACAGACCTCTGGACTAGGCCTGCAGGCAGGGACTACCCCTCCGCAGCCCGGTCCTGTCTCTTCTGCAGGGTGGAGGCTTGGACCAGGATGGATGAGTGAACTGGGAAGGATAGAGCTTAAAGCAAGCTGGAAGCTGGGAGTTGGCCAATTAAACAGGGAAAATATTTTTCTCTTCCAGAAAAAGTGTGTTCCCTCCTAATATTCTTAGCCTTCTTTTTGTTTTCCTGTTACTTAATGAAAGAACACAGGTACTAGAAACATTTTCTTTCTACGGTGTTGGGGGTACCAGGGTCGTGGGGGCTGTGGCCACGAGAATAAAGGGGAAGCTGCTGCTCAGCCCATTTCTTCCATGAGGGGATTCGGGGCTAGTGTCACCGGATGTTTAAAGTTCTCAACAAAGCTATGAATCCAGATTGAATGGAAAATCTCCTGATTGGCTTAAATTCTTAAACATAAACTCTGTAGGCCAAGTGAAGCCTGCCTGTGGGCCACCGGAGGCGGGGCTGTGGTCAGTGCTCTCTGAGCTAGATGGACCTTGCTACGTCTTGCCTGGCGGTGGCGCTGTGCTTTATTGCCCGGGGAGGAGGGGACACTCCACAGGGCTGAGTCCGCTCCAGATTCTTCTGACATGAGCCTGGGTGGCTGGAGCAGGCCAAGGCCCTTCTCCAGAGTCCACTTTTTATATCAGCACATTGAAGGCCAGAGTTGGATCTGTAGTTTTGAACCTTTCTTAAGCAGCAGAACCTTTGTTTAAACCAAATCTTATAGGAAAGAAATCACAATGTACACGACAGATAAAAAACAGAGCTCCTCCAGGCCTCGGGAGAGTCTGGAGTTCTGTCCTGAGGCTGCCCTCTGGCAGGTTCCACAGAACAGTGCAGTGGCCGCCTCCCTGCCGGCTGGTGCTCTCCACCCCGGTGGCCCTGAGTGGGAGGAGAACCACAGGGCCAGGAGAGCAGGCCACAGTGGGGCTCCCCACAGCCGGCTCCTCACCAAATTCTGCCCAGACTCTGCTCAGGGTGACCAGCCAGCCACTGGGTACAACTGCATTTACTAGGTGCTCTTCATGCAGTTTTGCCTCCTCGCACTAGGCCTCCAAGGCGTGCATTGCTGTTTCCATTTCTCAGGTGGGTAAACAAAGACACAGAAAAGGGAAGCAGATGGCCCACAAGGTCAACATGGCTGGAACATGGAGGAGGCTAGATTCTACCTGGGCCTGTGAGACTCCAAAGGCTGTGCCCTGCCCTCGGGCCCTCTCCCCTCTCTTCACTGAGAACTGTCCTGCTCCCGGGGGCTGTCCTGTATACACGTCCATCCAGGGTCCCAGCCTGACGGTTGCCATCCCTTGTGTTTCTGTGGCATGCTTCAGTTTGCAAAGTCCCTTCAGACATGATCTCATTTTGCTGGTGTCACGTTTGATTCATCTAAGCGGGACTCTTCATTTATCACCATGCAGGAGGCAGAACCATCTGAGCCCAGAAGTGGGGAGGTGACGAGGAAGCCCAAGGCTGCTGCTCCTTCTGTGAACAAGAGGCCGAAGAAGGAGGCCAAGAAGAAGCGTTAGAAGACAGGCCCGCGGAGCCGGGCGGGAGGGGCAAGGGCCTTGGGGGCGGTCCTCCTGGGACGCGGCGTCCTGTTCTCTCTCTCTGTCCCAGGCTCAGCGATCTGGACAATCATGACAGTCCCAGGTCCCAGCTGAGCAGATCACCACTTCTTCCTTCTGCTTCCTTAACGGTTCAGGGTGAAGGGGATTGAAACACCCTGTGAGCAGAGACTGTCTTAGAAATCTGTTTGCTCAAAATTTGGGTCAGATTACAGAGTTATGTTTTCTTACTTAATCATGGAATCCAGCCTTCAGTCACCCACCTTGTGGATTTACACTACGTTTCAGAGCTGTTATCTAATGCTGACAAGCCCCGCCCTCCCGTTACCCATTACGTGTGCAAGGGGATCTGCTAATCAGTCACCTTTGTCTTCTCCGCTTGGCAGGTGGAGCCTGGCGTCACCTATTTTGTGTAGGTCAAGACGCCATAGCCACTAACGCAGCTGTGAGGTCTGAAGGGTGCCTGGTGTGAGCCAGCAGGAGACCTGGGCCAGGGTAATGCCCAGGTCTTCTGAAGGGGATTTGGTTGAATGAGTGTGTGTGTTTCTTGGGCCCAATTTTCTGAGCCTCTGAAATGGGGGGGGGGGGGGCGGAGCTGTCACTCTCAGGCCAACTTCTTTTCAACCCGTCATAGCACATTCAAGGTGAGCCTTTGACTTCCACCTCTACAGTATCCCACGAATATCCCTCATCTCATCCCCACCCCCTCAATTCTTCCATCCCCTGACCGGTGGGGAAATAAATGTCAATAAACTGCCCTGCATGCTGAACCTCCTGTGTGTTGTCTGCTGCTGAGGGAAATGGGGAGCCTGGTCACTGCCCTGGGGGTGAAGGAAGGGCTCACCCCGGAGAAGTGGGACCCTGTGGCTGAGGATGGCCAGAGCTGGGGCCATCTGCAGCTGTTCTGGGGCAGCTTTCCAGGAAGGGCCCAGCCAGTGCTTTGTGTGGCCCTTAGTCACTGGAAACACTGTGAATGTCCACGCATGTGCTGGAGTTTCCGCTGGGACCAGGCCCCACTCATTCCCCAGTTCCTGTTGCCTGACGAAGAAGCTGCTTGTCCTCAGAGTGGCTTGAGAAAAGCCACGTTGAAGCCCTCATGTGGCATGGGGTGGGGCACACAGGTCCAGCCACGTGCCCTGAGTCAGCTGAACTCCGATTTGCCCAGCTGGTTTACAGTTAGCCAAACACTCCCAGTTGTTGTGACTGATGAGGAAGTTAAGGGGTGAGTGTGTATCATCTCCATTTGAGAGAGGGGAGACTGAGACTCGGACTTGGACCCAAGTTCATGGGCCTTTCCTCGGTGTTTAACAAACATTCAGTGCGTGTCAGTAGGCTCAGTGCTGGAGGGCCCCTCAAACTCTCCCAGAGAGACTGCTTGCTGGAGAACAGGCCTAGAAAAGCAAGGGTGGCCCTGGCTGGTTTGGCTCAGCGGTTAGAGCGTCGGCCTGCGGTACAGAGAGACCCGGGTTCGGTTCCCGCTAAGGGCATGTACCTCGGTTGCAGTTTGTCCCCGGTCCTGGTTGGTCGTGCGGGTGGCAGCCACTCGATGTGTCCCTTCACATCGATGTTTCTCTCTCTCTCTCTTCCTCTCTCTCCCTCCCGCTCTGTCTGAACAAAAAATGGAAAAATGTCCTCGGGTGAAGATAAAAAAAAAAAAAGAAAAGCAAGGGTGGTCATCCTCTGCCCCACCCACCCCCATTCAGTACTCTGGACAGATTCTAGCATTTGGCTCTCGGCTTCTAGGACCACACCCTTCCCTAGTTTTCCTTCAGCGTCACTGGGTTCTTATCAGTGGGGTTCAGGTTTCAGACCTTGGTCCTCTTATCTCTGCATGTACTCCCTTGAAGATCTTGTCCAGGCTCATGGCTTTATATACCACCGAAATGCTGATGTCTCCCAAACAAATCCCTCCAGACTGATCCTAAATGCCAGACTCATACCGGACTTCCTCCTCAGCATCTCCATGTGGGTACTCTACACGCATCTCAAAACAAATCCCTGCTCTCTCACCAATTGTCCCAAGTCTGATCTTTCTGTGGCCTTCCTCACCTTAAGGAGCCTCTTAATTTCCCCAGAAGCTCAGGCCAAAAGCCTTGGAGTCATCCTTGCTTCCTCTCGTTCTATGACACACCACTTCTGACCCTTAAGAGATTCCTTGCGACTTGACCTGCAAAATTCAGAATGAGACCCGTGTCGCCACTTCCCTGTACAATCGTGGTCCAGCCACCATCATCTTGCCCAGATATTGCAGTAGCCTCCTCACGGATAGACTGTCCTCGACAAAGCAGCCAGAGGGATCCTGTTAAAACCCATAAGGTCACATTCCTCACCTCCTCCAGCTCACTCAGGCGAAGGCCGAAGGACCCATAAGGGCCTGCAAGAGCTACTCCACCTCCTCCAACTTCCTGACCTTTGAGAGACCTCACTCCCCCCTTGCCCACTTGCCCACTTTCGCTAGATACTGAGCCTCAAGTGGCAGACAGATTAATGGCTCCCAAAGAAGTCCGTACCCTCGACCTCAGGACTGGTGACTGTGTCATCTTATGTGGTGAAAAGGACTTTGCAGGTATGATTAAATTAAGGATCTTGAGTTGGGGAGATTCTGGATTAGCCAGGTGAGTCCAATACAGTCATGAGGGTCCTTATAAGAAAAATAGGGAGGCCGGAAAGCCAAGGAGAAGGAGGTGGGATGATGGGAGCATAAGCTGGAGTAAAATGGGGCCATGAGCCAAGGAATGTGGGCGGCTTCCAAAAGCTGGAAAAGACCAGGGACGGATGTTCCCTAGAGCCCCCAGAAGGAAACAGCTCTGCCAACGCCTTGCTTTCAGCCCAGCAAGACCCCCTTTGGACTCCTGACCTCAGACTGGAAAAGATTACATTTGTGTTGTCTCAAGCTACTACATTTGTGTAACTTGTTGCAGCAGCAATAGCAAATGAATGAATATACCTTACTTCCCTCAGATCATTATTCAGGGAAGCCATCTCAAACCCAATTTAAAATTGTAACCTTGCCCCAACATTTCCTCTCCTTATTTAGTTTTTCTTCTGAGCGTATACCATCCTCTAACATGCTGTGTGTTTTACTTACTTTGTTGTCTTATACCTCAGTTGGAATGTGAGCTCTAAGAACGGAATTTTATTGTTCTTGCTTATGGATAACTCCTCAAGGCCTGTAAGGGTGCCTGGCACCTACTAGATGCTCAATAAGTATTTGTAGCATGGATGGTATGAGGAGAAGGTGGCCTGCCCTAACAGAACAGCTTAGTGAATAAACATTACGCATGCCCAGAGACTCTGCCTGCATGATTCCATCCTCACAGCCACCCCAGGAGGTTGGTAACATTATCATCCCCATTTTACAGATGAGGACATGGAGGTACCTGGCACCGAACTCAGGCAGCCTGACTCCAGGGCCCACTTGGAGTCGTCCTGCTGTTTCCTCCCTTTTTGCCCTGGACTTCTCAAGGAGGGCTCTCACTGGGGGAAAAGATTGGGCCCAGATTCTGGCAGCATCACTGTCCAAAGGACTGAATCACTAATGTAAAATTATGCTCTAGAGTTTTTTTTAAAAAATCTCATTGAAGTGGATAAACATAAAATGAATTATTTAAAGTGTACAGTTTAGTGGCATTTAGTACAGTCACCAAGTTATGTGACTACCACCCCATCTCATTCCAAATTAATTTTGTCACCCCTAAGGAAAACCCCATTAAGCAGTTCCTTCCCATTCCCCTGTCTCCAGAACCCCTGGCACCCATCAATTTACTGTCTGTCATAGGTGTAGATTTACCCATTCTGGGTATTTTGAATAAATGGTCTCACATACAATATGTGGCTTTTTATGTTTGTCTGCTTTCACTTAGCGTGATGTTTCTGAGGTTCATCCATGTTGTAGCATGTATCATATCAGCACTTCGTTCCTTTTTGTGGCTGAATAATATTCCCGTGTGTGTGTGTGTGTGTGTGTGCATGCACAAGCACCTTTTTCAATTTTAAATCACTCGCTGTTGACTAACTGACCAGTTAATTTTTGTATTATTACAAAAACAACCATGGTAGAAACCTTAGTTCATTCTCCTAATAAGCCTGTTGATCTGGTCTTCCCTGTTACCAGCATCTCCACCTTCTACAAAACGGGTGGTCTTTTCCTTCATTCCACCTCGTGGAGAAGACCATTCGAAGGGCCACAGGAACTTATTTGCTTCTTTGAAGTGTTTTCCAACAGTATAGATCTCATGTATCAGATCCTCCGTGCAGATGATGCCACATATACCACGAGGTCGAGCGATCAACATGTTCTCTCTCAGGGCAGTTCATTTTTTGTTGATTTTGCCATAACTACTCTTGTAGAGCAATTCACTTACTGACTTCAGGTTTGGGTACCCCACACAATAGATGGCTCCACAGTCCTCAGCATGTTCATCGTTGCGCTTCACAAAGGTGCTATTGAAGCCCTGGCGAAGGCGAAGAAGCTGCAGCACTTCGGACCTTTGGGCTCACACCACTGATACCTCTGATCCCGATGACAAGTGCCAATTTGGGTTCCACAGGTACATGGAAGTTGCCAGCTTTTCTTGCCATCCTGGCCATTTGAATCTCAGTTCTGTACATCTGCCTATATTCCTTGTGATAACACCTAGCTTTTTCAGAGAGGAGCTCCCTCCTTGCCTTTCCAAGCATCTTTTGGGCAAACTTCTTTCTCGGGTGCTTGATCTTCAGCTCTGTGAAATTCCCTCGCTTTTTGTTAAGGGAAACAGCAGAAACTTTCTTCTCTTCCGTCCCCTCCATGGTTCCAGCCAGAAAAGAAGACTGTGTGTACACTTTGAAGGCAGCTCCGTGAGTGGTTTTGGAGCCAGACAGTCACATTTTGAATCTGATTCACAGCGATGTAGCTGTGTGGTGTTAGGCAAAGGAATCACATCTCTGATTTCCAGAGTCCACCAAATGGAGCTCATCCAAAAGCCTTGCAGGGCTATTGTAAAAATTAGACACACTGTGTGTGTGTATGAGGCCTACAGCATAGTAGTAGTTTATAAATGGGAGCAATGAAAACAATTATTCAATCCAGGACAAAATTATTATCATTAAAACATGACCTTGGCTTCCTCGGAAGATGAGCACAACCTTAGCCCCAGAGTCCTGGGAGGCCAAAGTCAAGGGAAGGTTTCCAGGGCTGAGCTCATGCTTGCTTTTGTAGTCAAAGAGTACTTTAGATTTCTAGTGGATTTTGCCTTCAGTTTTCCCTTCCTCATTTATTCAACAGCCTTTCAAATCATGGAGGCTGAGAGCTACATGGCAACAAAGGGGAGAGGAACTACCTTTAAAAAAAAAAGAAAATCTAAATAGCCCTGGCCGGTGTGGCTAAGTGGTTAGAGCATTGGCCTATGCACTGAAGAGTCGCAGGGTTGATTTCCAGTCAAGGGCACATATCTGGGTTGCAGGTTTGATCCCTGGCCTTGGTTAGGTTGCATGCAGGAGGCAACAAATCAATGGGTCTCTCTCACGTGGATGTTTCTCTCTCCCCCTTCCTCCCTCCCACTCTCTCTATAAAAGAAAATCAGTGGGCCCTGGCCGGTTT